AACTTCTTCTTTTGAGTCTTAGTGAGGTTATGTTCTTTGTTGTTGACGGTGTTTAAAACCTTCTTTCTAGGATTCGAAGAGGAAGCGAAGTTGTACCTAGCTTTCGACATGAACTTGTAGGCATTTGGATCAAAACCTTCTTTGGTTCTCTTAGTTGGAAGAAAGCTTGGTTCTACCCCATTTGGCAGAGCTTTTATAAAGCCTTGTGGTAGTTTTGCAACCTTAGCATCGCCTAGCTGTGTCAGAGGCAAAACTGTATTCATCTTGAGCAACTTTACATTATCTTTGTGCCACCGTGTGTCGGCTTTGCTTGCTCTGGTTTCGAATGGGGATTGACCATTCTTTCTTCTTAACATCGGGATGTATCAGAATATGGGTGTGTTCGATCCTTCTGAAGGCGTTCTACTCCCCTTGGTTATTGCAGGTTTAGTAGGCTCGTCATTGTTTTTGCTTAAAGATGGCATGGTTTGCCCTTCTTGCTTCTTGGGCATGGCTTGCCATTCCTGCTTTTTAGGTGCTGCTTTGCCTGTGGATTTGATGTCTTCTGGAAGAGCTTCGAGCACCATGTTTTCATCCATGTAGAACTTAGCGTCTGCGAAGTGTGATTCGGCTTCTGTGAATGGCTTGGTATCACCTTAGATCACCTTTACTCATTCTCGGTAGAATTTTAAGCATTGGTGGAGGGTGGATGACACTACTCCATTCCCGTGGATCCAAGGCCTTCCTAGGAGTAAGCTGTAGGAAGTTCTTGCATCAATCACGTGGAATATCGTGCTTGATTTAAGTTCACCAATAGTCATCTCCACTCGGATCATGCTCATCGCTCTTTGTCCTCCTTGGTTAAAACCCTGGATTAGCAGACGGCTTAGGGATAGTTCAACCACCTTGATGCCAATTGTGGTCCTTGTTGACTTTAGCATGATGTTTATGGCCGATTCACCATCCATAAGCATGCGGTTGACTTTGTGCTCCCTTATGTACCCAAAGACGAAGAGAGGGCGGTTGTGAGGCCCTGATCTTAGTAGTAAGTCTTCGTCAGTGAAGTTGATTACATCATGGGTGGCACATCATGTGGCACATTCGTGTGGCCGAAGCTTCAAGCCTTCATTCTTGCCGTCTTGCACCTCATGGTCATCAGGACTCGCCAAGACCGCTATTAGTGCTTTTCGCATCCCTTTGGGTAATCGTAACTCTTCCTTGATGCTGACGTGTGTCGGTAGGCCTTCTTTGGGTATGAGGGTCCTCTCTTCCTCTACTATAATAGCATTGCCTTTCGAGGGCTCTTTTATCTCCACGTCCACCATGTGACAGGCAACGACAATGCACTGTTGGAAGAAGTCATTTAGGAAGTACTCATGCAAGGAGACAGGAATGCGTGGCTCTTGCTCCATATGTTCCTCAATGTATGTTGGCTTAACAGCCCTTACGTTTCCTTTGGGTTTCCTATTGTTGCGGCGGCGGTGCTTTCTCCCTTGTTCCGCCTTTGGCCTTGTGGCTTGTGGTTTTGGCTTCCTTGTCTTTTTGTAGGTCACCAAGTTTCATCCTTCGTCATCGTTGGTAAGTGCATCTTGGTTGCTTGCCCCTATTGATGGTTATGCAGAATGTGTCATGCAGCTTGAGTATTGACGGGAATGGTCAGGTGTCACTTGGAGAAGCACGAGATCGAATGATCTAAACGCAATTGTAGTAGTATGTGTTGCAGCTATGTCGTCAAGGTCAAGCTCGATTTTCCCTTGTTACGCTAACTTCATGATGAGTTATTTAAGGACAAAGCACTTACCAACAAGATGGCTCACGATACGATGGTACTTGCAGTACTTAGGATCGTTTACGTGATTCATCTCCTCAGGACGTTTGCATTCGGGTAGCTCGATTACCTTCTTTTCTAGCAAGTCATCTAACATTGCGGCCATATCTGAGTCAAAAAAAGGGTACACCTTCTGCTCCAGTTCCCTCAAGGTTTTTTTGTACCTGTCTTGGGTGAGAGGAGGCTCACCTCTCTTTATCTCTTTTGCTTTGTTCTTGGAGGAGATCTTGATAGGCGCAGATGAGGTCTTGATGGGGGTAGTGTAGACGGTAAAAGCTTCCTTGGCGGGCTTCTTCCCAGTCTTATCTACATTCGGGGTAAACAGTTTATCTTTCTTGAAGTCGGTGATTGGCTCCTTCTTCCCGTGATTGGCGATACTCAGCTCTATGTCATGGGAATGAGTTGCCAGCTCCTCAAATGTTCTTGGTTTTATGCCTTGAAAGATGTAATGTAACCCTCAATGGCAGAGGCTTCAGAAAGCTGATCTTTGCAATGTAGACTTAATGAACGCCATCTATTGATGTAGTCGACGACAGGTTTATCCTTCCACTGTTTCATACTGGTCAACTTCAGCATGCTTACGGTGCGACGAGTGCTGTAGAAGCGGTTGAGGAACTCCCTTTCTAGTTGATCCTAACTGTTGACAGATTTGGGCTCGAGGTCGGTGTACCAGTCAAAGGCGTTACCTTTCAATGAGCGCACAAACTGCTTGACGAGGTAGTCTCCCTCCGTTCCAACATTGTTGCAAGTTTCAATAAAATGGGCGACATGTTGATTTGGGTTTCCTTTTCCATCGAACAGCATGAATTTTGGTGGCTGATAACCCCTCGGTATCTTCAAAGCGTCAATCTTCTTGAGTAGAACTTTGAGTATAGTACTGAGTCATGTAAGCTTCCTTCGTACTGCGCCTTGATGGTGCTGGCGATCATCTCCTGCAGCTGTTGGACAGAAAGAGATCCCATGAGCGTTGCTACTTGGCCTGGCTTTGGCTTCGCATCGACTTTCTTCACCGGAGGCTCCTCTTCTTCGCCAGCTCATTTTTTTAGTGGATCAACCTTTGGGTCGGGGTTCTCGCCGTCCTGTGCCTCCAGTCGGTTGACGAGCGCAGCGATTTGCAAATCTTTTTCTTCCACAGTTTGTGTTAGCCTTGCGATCGCTTCATTCATTTGAGCCAGCTACTCATCGATTGAAGTCACTCCGGTGGTCATGACTTGCATGGCTGAGCTGCTGCTTAAGTCGGCATCGGAAAGCATGGAATCAGAGTACTTCTTCGAACTTTCCTCCCTTGGTGCTCTTAGCTAGGCCAGGGTGATCGCGAGCTCGTGCTATCCACACACCACATTTTACTTGTCACACACCTCTTGATAATTTCTGTCCGTTGATCTTCTTCAATTCATCCGATCCGACGACCGAAAATTAAAAAGGTGTGTGAGAAGTAAAATGGGGTGTGTGGATATCACACCCTTTTCTTTATTATGATGATTTCATGAAATCTTTATTAATTTGTTTTAGTTGCATTTCGTTCTCTTTGAAGTAGCCTAAGGTAGACAGTTTACAGTGATGATAGCCGAATTCTAATGTGGCTTATGGTATATCTCTCTTATTGCAGGGCGCTTTTGGAAAAAAATGCTCTAATTGCCTTTGGCTTGACGACATACACGATGCTTGGATTGGGAGTGGTTTGTCATAACTTTTATGGCCTAAACCTAACATGCTAATGCTTGCTTCAAACTTTAAATTCTTGGATTGAGCAGAGTATGCTAACTTTTACAACTTAAACAAAACATGCTAATGTTTGGTAAAAGCATTAATAGCAGTTTTCCAACTTCTGAGGCTCGTTAAGCTTTAGTCTTCTTTTCCTCCCCTTCAGCTAGGGATGGCAACGGTTCGGTTTGGAGACGAAAATGTTATATCCATTCCTATAACCGTGAAAATTAACCATATCCATAACCTCAAATTAACCATCGGGGATTATCCATAACCATATCCACCGGTTAATGGATTCTTCAAGACTTCAGTGGAATTCAACAAGGCCACATTGTCATTCTTTTGAGGAAGATAATTAGTGGAATTCTTTTAAAGATCTAGCTCTCGAACAAGAGTCATTCTTTTGAGGAAGAGAATTAGTGGAATTCAACAAGGCCAATGAGAATCATTTCCAGCATATTATGAGCGTTTCAAGACTTTAGTTGCATCTTGTCCCCAACATCAAATGAAGGAAGAACTTTTAATTCAATATTTCTACGAATGACTATTTCCACTTGAAAGACAAATACTAGATGTTTCGGCAGGTGGTGCTTTGGTTAGCTCAATTAAACTCTAAATTGAGAGGAAAAATGATCCAAAAACCAAAGAAAAACAGAGGATTGAAAACTTCATACGAATCAAAAGGGGAAAGGGATCATTTCCGGATCCCTTCCTCCTAATCTACCAAATCCGGAAATCTGAGCTGTTGAAATTTGATCCAACGACTATAAACAGAGGCCCATTTTAAAAGTTCTCTGAACTTGGTGGATTAGGAAAAAGATATCTGAAGAAGATCTCTTTCCATCAAAAGGAACCACAATAACGCAGTTATACAGCCAAATAAAATTCTAGTAAAATACAACCTCAATAGAACACCAATAGACCATGAACAGGTTGCGACCGGGATTTTGAAATACTTATTTCTGATCTTTAACCACTGTTTTCCAATCATTAGCCGAGACTCTTCTTTCTTATTCTTCAGATGATGTCACATCTCGGCCCGGGTCCACCACATCCTGGGCCCGCTCCACCATCGTAGCTCGATATTGTCCGTTTTGAGCCCTGACTACACCCTCACGGTTTTGTTTCTGGGAACTCACATGAAAACTTCCCAATGGGTCACCCATCATAGGAGTGCTTTCACACGCTACTTGCTTAACTTCAGAGTTCCAATGGAACTCGAAGTCAGTGAGCTCCCAAAAAGCCTTATGCTAGGTAGGAATGTGAATATATATATATATATAAGGATCACTCCTCTGGACGATATAGGATCTTACAGATGACATGAAAGGGTAGTCTTTTTCTTTCAGCTCCTCGTTCCGGGATATTTTTTTCAGATTTCTTTTTATTTGGCCCTCTTTCCGGGAAATTTTTCGGGATGGGGTTTTGTGAAACTTGATAAAGATGTCACCCAACTTTGAAAGAAGAAATCAAAAGAAGAGAGAAAACTCCATAACATTAATAAGGGAATTCAAAGCAATGTTAGCACATCACACAACCTCAAATATCTAGGAAGCAAATCTACTAGCAAAAGTCCCCTCGTATTGCTGGACTTTTGATGATTCTGTATATAAATAAAAGTTCTAGCATCATAAAACAAGTAACACGCCTTCAATCCGAGTGCCTTCCGCAACTTAATCTCACTGGCAACCACCATGAGTACTTGTCCATTCTGCTCCACACGCATAGCAGAACTGGTATTGGCACCTGCAAATACAATATACGGTAAACACAACTCCCACCAAGTAATCTATCTAAAATCATTAAACCTTACATTAACCACAATTAAATAAAGTATTTCAATATCATCAGTCAAAACTAATTAGCTGTTTAACCCATTAAACTTATTCCATCACTAAACGCATTCATCATCTAAATCCTCTTAAGGATAAAAGTACTCGTGTGTTAGAAAGTGCATCCAACCGACAACTAATTGGCAATTTGTGGAGACGACTAAGATTTTTAAAACTACTAATGCAAGGCTTCCATTTCCGATGTAGAGTACTACCCTATCGACATGCCTCATCGTATGTGGAGTCACTCAAACCAAACATATGAAAACGTGTTGCCATCAAGTTTAACTCGGGCTAATCTGCTCTGATACTATTATATCGTGTTAGATAATACTCTCAACAAGATAAACCATAATTGTGATGATAAACAGAATTATTGATGAAATTTTTATGTCAATTAGAGATAAAATTCCCTAAATAAGCAACAACTACCTATGCCTAAAATACTTTGTGCAGATAATACCAAATTAAGCAAACTGACCTGCAAGTAATATGCAAACAACCTTGAGTCTTCTCCACATAATATTTGCACCTAGGGCACCGCTTCCACTTCTTTTGCTTTGCAAGTTCCTTAACCATAAGATCCGCCCTCCCTCGTTCGTCCTCGTTAAGCCTCCGATACTCCTCACAATCAACTCCTGGATGCCAAGGGACTTGACATCGTGCACAGAACAGTCTATGGCAAATGGGACACTCCGACTCTCTTATAGCCTCCTCACCTTCGTTGTCGATCATCAAAACTGTTGAGCAGTCGCTGAAAGGACAGTAGAGTCTTTGTGCCCCTAAAACCATAGCTTCACAAAGGGCATCATTCCACCTTTCTATGACTTCTTTGGGAAGCATTGGCATACAGGTATCAAGTTCCAGCACAGCCCTGCAGTCCAAGCCGGGGCACAAAACTACGTGAATGTTGCTTGGATTTTGGATGCCACATGCTTGGTTATGCAATCAGCGCAGAAGGAGTGAACGCAGCCCTCATTTCGAAACATCTCGTCAGCCTCTTTCATTTCAACACAAATCCCACAAAGGATTTGTGTTGATGGTTGTGGTGACAACGATTCGCCAGACTCACGCGTGTCCTGAATTGGGAATAGGATTTCATGGATTGGGTTGGATTGGATTGCTTGGGTTGCTTGGATTGTTGCTGATGATGAAGAGGAAGAGGAACCGTCATTGTGGGTGGATTGGGAGGTGAGTGCAGAAGAGGACATTAGAGCCTCTTGGAACTGCAACTCTTGTGCGTACTTGGAATCTGAAACTGGCTCAGACTCGTCGTAAGTTTCATCATCAAAGAGTGCGGAAAAGTAGAAATCATCCACATTCAGATGAAGAGCATCAGACGCTGATGAGTTCTCTTGTGTCATGTTGGATTGGATTGCTTGGGATGCTTGGATTGTTGCCGATGATGAGGAGGAAGAGTAGTCAATTTACATTGCGCACAACTTTTACTATTTTAAAAAATAGTAGTCAATTTATTGAAACTTTTCTAAATTGGAGACCTGAGTGGTCGCTTACCTACTTTGATCACTCTAACCTTTTTCTTTGCGGGACTTGTATTTGTATCTTCTGTGTTTTCACTTCCTAGATCAGGTTATTTTCCCATTGTAACTTTCACTGACCCTCTATCACTAAGGTTCATAAAATCTTGCTCTGTAGCATCCATTGCTTCAAGAAAGAAAAAAAAAAAACTGTTAATCTTTCTCATACCATATCCATTTCAAATTCACTTATCCATTTCAGTTTCAATTTCAATTTCACATATCCAATTCGATTTCACCTATCTATATCCATTTCAAATTCACACGTCCAATTCAATTTCAAAATCCAATTCACATATCCACAAATCACAATCCAATTCAAATTTACATTCAAATTTACAATTCAATTAATTATACGTTGCACTTGCAGGCTGCAGCCTTGCTTAATTGCTTTGCTTGTTCCAAATCCCCAAATCTGGAAAATAAATATAGACCCCACTTGTTAACTTCAAGTAAATAGACCCCACTTGCACAACCCAATTTATATTATTTTGGCCATTTCAATCACCTTCTATACATCATAAATATGTGATTTATATATATCAAGGTCAATGGGAAACAACAATAGTTGTGGTTTTGTCCAGGTTTCAGAATATGAACAAAGGAAATGGTTTGTTGATGTAACTTGTAAGTGTTCTAAACATATTAAAAGTTGAAACACACGAACTCACCCTCTCTCTCCCTGCACGCCTAAACACAACACAAACATCAACTAAGATAACTTTTGGTACACTTTGATGCGGTGATCAAAGACCGACCTCAATTGAACTAACCCTCCAACTAAATCATCTTACTTTCCAAAGAACAGGGACCCAAAGCATACATTAACCACACATACATTAGCAAGAACAAATCATCCCACCAAGATTAACTATAAACTGAATCCAAATGCATGCTTTTCCAAATGTATAAAAAAAAAGGGGTGTGATATCCACACATCCTTTTTTACTTTTTCACTTGAGTGTCTAACTTTTTTTTTTTTTTTTTTTTTTTTTTTGAGAAGAAACAACTTGAGTGTCTAACTTTGACCTCCAACTTTGCAAATTCTAATTACCCAAATCAGTAAACAAGCAAATTAAGCACAACCACCATTCTATGATCAGATGAGATAAAGTAGTTGTCAATTGTTTCACCTACTTCAACCCTTGAATTCTACCAAGTAGCCCAGACCTCAATTCATTCAATTCCTATTAAGAAAAATAACATTGTGGACCAAATTAAAAACAGCTTTGAACCCAAAATTACAATCTGAGTTTTTCTAATTCTTTTTGTATCTAAGAATTCTCAGAACCCTAAACAAAATCCATTTAAAAAAAGCACAACAAAAAGAAAAGGTTACCGCAAAGCTTGGAGCCAATCGGTGTGGTGGAGGGAGGCTGGAGAGGGTGGTCGTGGACTCGTGGCTAGCTGGAGTTGACTGAGATTCGAGACTTCAGTTCGAGAAAGAGAGAAAAGAAGAAGTGGGGTTGCTTTTACGACTAACCTGGCTAAAAAGGTCAGCTCATGGAGGGGCTTTATCTTTTTGTAAGTTTTAGTCTTCGTAGTACACTGATCCTTCCTTGAGGTTTTTTTTTATCTATTCGGGCATTGATTTGCTTTGGTAAGAATACCTCTCTCTACATATTACACACACACATATATATGCCTTTTATGCAAAGGATCTTCATTTAAAAAAAAATGAGGATTAGGTGTGAGACCCACTTCACATTGAATTTCAACGATTCGAACCGTTTATTTTATTAATCTTGATTCATGTATCATCCTTGCAAAAATTCAATTCAATCCGAAATCATTTACCTATTTAATTATCAAGATCAAATTTCATTGTTTCTTATATAACAAAGTATTCGTTCATTTCTTTGAAACCAATTAGATGTCTTAAATATTTCCGATTTGGCTAATATTTTGCAAAGATGATCTATAAGGTACAACTTGAAAAATAGATAGTTCGGATCGTTAAAAGAGAAGAAATTTGTATTATTATTTTTTTTTTACAAAATGAAGATTAATTGTGGGACCGACTCCATTTTGAACTTCAAAGATCCAAACCGTCTATTTTGTAAGTTTCAATTCATAGATCATTTTTACAAAAATTCAATCCAATCGGAAACCATCTTGTTTATTTATCATGATGAAATTTCAAAGTTTCTTAGAGAACAAAGTGTTCATCCATTTCTTTAAACTCAATTAGATGTCTCAAATATTTCATATTTGACTAATATTTTGCAAAGATAATCTATCAGGTGCAACTTGAAATATAGACTGTTTGGATTGTTAAAGTTTGATGTTGTGTGGATTCCACAACTAATCCCTATTTTTATAAAAGAAAAATGGGGATCCCTTCCTATAAAGGCTTCCCATATATATATATATATATATATATATAAGAACTTTACAATCCGAACCGTCTATTTTTCAAGTTGCACCTCATAGATCATCTTTACAAAATATTAGCCAAATCGAAAATATTTAAGACTTCTAATTGGGTTTAAAAAAATTAACGAATACTTTGTTATATAAAAAATAATGAAATTTTATCTTGATAATTAGATAGGCAAATGGTTTCAGATTGAATTAAATTTTTGCAAGGATGATCTATGAATTGAGACTCACAAAATAGGTGGTTCAGATCGTTAAAATTCGATGTAGAGTGGACTTCACACCTAATCCCCATTTTTTGAAACAATTTTAATATAAGTTATTGCATTTAATATCTTTTGCTAAGCAATTGTATTAGAATATTTGTCAATCTTCATCATTAAAGAACAGTTATCATTGTTATATGGAAACTAAATGTGAAGGAAACTACTATTGGCCAAGGCTTGAAAAAATTCCTGAAAATCTCAAACCAAGCTGGAAAAATCCTGATCCCGAACCATTCAGTGTGAGATTTGAGATTGCTTATTCAATTGTTTGGAAATTTATAACCGAACCAAAATTATATATATATTGTTGTGAAACGTATGAAGGATAAAGAAGAAACTGAAGTGAGGAATTGAGGGAAAGAAGACTAAGTATTCTTCTTCTGATCATGGGCCAGAAGGGGATACAAAAGCTTGTGGCCACTTCACTTTACAACAATATTTTAATTATTGTCAGAATTAATTGCCACTATTGGATTGTTTAAAAATGATCCAGGATATGCAAAATGAAAGAAGTTGTGCTTAAAAACATCAGTACATTATTAGAAAATATCAAACGTTAAAGGATATGCAAAATGAAAGTAGTGTTTCAAAGCTGAGGAACTTTACACGTTGTTTTTTAACGTGTTTGGTATTTTTAAATTACTTAATATTTTTATTTTAATGTGTTTTATAATTTTTTTAATCTCACCCTTTGTGTGGCAGCCCGTCCCGGAATTTTGGAATATTAATTGGTCTCGAACGTGGAAGTTACTAAAATACCCTTGGACGTTATAGTGTGTTGTTTGTATTGTGTACTTGGGTTTTGGACCCATCCATTATTTTCCTAAGTTTAGAACTAAGGGAAACTAAAAAATGACTTAGTTTTGTTGGTTTTAGTGGGTGACCCAATTGGACACACACACACACACACACACACACTCTCCATCACTCCCGTGCTCTCTCTCTCCTCCCTCTCGGACTTCTTTCTATTTTCCGTACAAACCGTACGGACGAACTTCGAACTCAACCTTTCACGCACGAATCGACGTTAAAAAGGTAATGTTCTTGTTCCCTACAAGCTCCTGAGTCCATTCGTACCATTTTTAGGACTTGAAAGTTTGTAAAACCCGAGAAACCATCACCCCCGATTTGAGTACTGTTCACATGGTCGTAATTATGGATGTTTCAGGGGATTTTAAGCTCGTATGAAGATTTAGGATGTTCTTACGAAGCTTGGAGGACAAAAACCAAGCAAATTGGACGTCGGGAAGTCGAGTTTGGCGAGTTTGAAAATTGGCTGAAACTATCGTGTCTTCTCCGGTGAGATCCCGTGATTTTTGGAGCTTCAAAATTGGTAAGAATGTGTTTTACTCGTTGTAAGTTTCAATTTGATTTAAGTTTCATGAGTTTTGGTTCAAAAATGAAGAAGTTATAAGGATTTTAAGATTTTCCAGTTTCTGGTGATGACGACAGTCGCCAGAGTTCGAAGGTAGAAGACAGAAAATATTCCGTCAAACTTTGACGGAATATTATGACGCCGTCAGGTAGAATTAACGGTTTCTGTTACTTTTTAACGAAATATTCCTAACGGGGTTAGGGGATTCCGTTAGGGTTCCCTGCGCGTGGCCGCTTGTAGGGTTGTGCCCTTGTCGGCGCGTGACGGTGCGTGACGGCGCGTGACGGCTCCAAAAATTATTTTAAAATTTTGGATGTGTTCATGGAGTTGTGTAGGTCACGATGGTATATTTCCTCAGTTGAGCAATGTATGAGAAGTTATTAGCTAGTATTGGTTATGTGCTTTAAATTAACTTTTTTATAGTTGTTTCGCATATAGGGGAGACTTATCTCGAGGACGAGCGCAGTCAAGGGCGACTCGGGGGTTACAACCCTTCAACATACCAGTGAGTGAGCCTTTGGTTTTCAGTATATACTTATATACTTGATATTTTCCCAAAAAATGCGTTTAAATGAATGTATGCCTTGAAATGCCATGCATATGAAATGCCATGCATATAATTTATATTCAACATATGAATTAGTATATGATGCATAATATATAATTGTGGTGTTGTAGACGCTCAGGTAAGCTCATGTGAGTTTATGAATTGTGAATGTGAATAACGGTTGTGATTAATTGAGAAGCATATAGCTCATAAACCTGAACCTCAGGTGGTTGTGATTTAGCCAGAGATATGGTACAAGCCTGTTTATAATGTCATCTCCCGCACCTTATGCTCACATTGGATCCAATTTAGGTGCACAATCATGTCGTACAAACCATCATAGGTGGTTCCGACTCGTAGTTGACTAGCGATTTATCGCATAGCTATCATGAGTGCATAGCATTGAGCATAACTATATTACACCTAGTCTTGTCGTACAAACCAGTACAGTGGTTCGGACTCGTGCAATGTAGTGCCGTATAGGTCACTTGTAGTGACTCCGGCTAGATTGATTAATGAGCTATGAATTCAACCGTTTAGACTTCTGCAAGGATTCCGGCTAATATGTTATTTCCATGAATTTATTTTCACCTGAATTACTTATTATGTTTTATATTTTTGGCATGGCATACTTATGATTATGGATTTGTGAAGCATGATTTAATATATATATATATATATATATATATATATATATTTATATTTATATTCCATTTTTGGGAAAATTATACATGTTTTACGGCGAGGGTTAAGAGCTTTTGGTAAATGAAATGATTTTGAAAAGCTTTGTTTTTGCCCACTCACACTTTTTGTTTTGCGCCCTACTAGGTTTTAGGTAGACTTGCTGTTGATGGCATTTGTGGATCCTGGCGGCTCTGACAAAGTATAATATTCGTAGGGCTTCTTCTAGTACTGTATAACTAGTACTTGTCCTACTGGACTGCACTTAGACTTCTATGCTCTGATTAGGTATATTTACACTTGTATCTCATTCCTAGCACTTTCTGCATATTAGTGCACATTAATTAGCTTTCGGTTCTTATTTATTCGTATATTTCTTATCCTTATTGCTTCTGCACTGTGCACATGACTACGTCGCCCTCACGTGATGGCCAGAACGCCTTGTTCTTTGGTCGGGGTGTGTCACTTTGCCTATAGCATACTATAAAAATAAATAAATAAATAAAACTTTTTTATATAGGAAAACTAATGAAAATGGCTTGAAAACTTTGAGTTTTAACGATAAGGACAAAATAAAGGGTAAAGTGAATAGTATCAGAATTGACTTTTTAGTATAAAAATGTGGTTTTTCGTTAAAATGAACAGTACCGGAAATTTTTCGTTAAAGTTCCCCTTTTTACATTTGTATAGAATAATAATACAATAATACATATTTAACATACAATATATACATATATACACTATGGTTAGTGTATTTTACAGTAAGTTCCTTCAGTAGTTTAAAAAATTAAAATCATCAAAATAACTTTTTTCTTAACGTGTCGAAACGGATTACCCGCGTGTCACCTTCGTTTAAACCTGTTAATAATTATTATTAACGGGTTTTTATCGTGTGACCGATAATGACCTGATTAATTATCATGTCGATCCGAAACCCGTTATTTTTGTGTTGTGTTAACAAGTAGTCTAAAAAATTACCAGGTCTACCTTCCACCTCCAGTCATCATTCACCAACCCCAATTCCAATTATTCATCATCACGGATTCACCACCAAACAATTCTATAATTCCCCCCTCGCCACCCCCAAAAAACACCTCCCGTTATGAAGATCCCCTATGGGCCTATAAAAGCTCCAATTTTGCTCAAAACAAATCCCCCCAACACCTCTTGTTATGAAGCCTCCAATCATCATTCACCAACACCAATTATTCACCATCATGGCTTCACCCCCAAACAATTCCATAATCTGTCCCCCCCCAACAAAAAAAAAAAACACCCCCTCTTATGAAGATCCCCTATGGGCCTATAAAAGATCCAATTTTGCTCAAAACAAACCG